CTTTATTTCTAACAACACAGGATGTCACTATAAATAAGTGGTGGCATATATACGTTAGTAAAGGGGCATTTTAACATCAGGAAAGATCAGACTTTTTTCATTACTTAGAAAAGTTTAGCACAGGCTAGAGTTCGTTTTCGACATACATTTGCATTGTCATAAATATTAAAAATATTATCAACCTTTTTTAAAATTGACAGAGGAGAGCAGCAATTAAACGTGTGAAGGTTTGTGTAACAGTCTTCTACTTTCTCTTTCGCTGTGTAAAGATTTAACAGGGCAAACACTTGGTCTGATGAATAGGTAGAGATGGATTAATTGTCTCTTAGGGGTAGTGGGGGAGATTAACGACGACGTGCAAAGTGCCTGCAGTTTCTCACCACTGTACGCCTGCCTGTTTTCTGCGCGGTTGTTTACTGCGCTGTCCACACCGCAAGCGGTCGGTGAGTCCGCTGGCGAACGCACAGCGGCAAAGCCAGCAGCAGCTGCCGGTGCGTGTGCTCCCGTCCTTCCTGAGGGCTGAGGCAGCTCGCTCCTCAGGCTGTAGGACCTGCCAGCAACAGAGACTCAAGCGTTGCATCTTATCATCACTTTTTCCTTCCCCTCTGTTCGTGTTTAGAGCCCAGTTAGTAAGTCATGCTATGAAATGAATCACTGAATTTACCTGACTTTAAATAAGCAAAATCTGCATTTTAGAGGGAGAAAGGAACTAGACATCTAAGACACAATCAAATAACAAAGCCCCTAACAGAACAAATAAAGGCTCATAGCATCAGTAATGGAGCAGGTGTAACATCACGTGTCTTGACGGGACATCTATGCGATCAGGCTATTTTCAAAACAAAACTTTTCAAGTGGGGATAGCTTTATGACGGTAAGGATGCTGCTACTACAGAAATGATACAAAAGTAACATTTGACCTGTAGTATAATGTGAAATACATGACCATAATGTAGGTTAAATAGATACGTAAATTTAATGGTGAAAGAAACAAAAGGGCATAGTTGAGGCAATATTTTCTTATTGGAGGAGTGGGAGGGGTTCAAAGCATTTTTCTCCGAGGTAAGATCTCTCATACTTGACACTTTCCTTGCTGTTACGAAACTAAATGTTTGAATATAGAAGAGAGAGCAAGCAGTCAGTAAGCGTTGTGTGTTAAGAGTATTGGATATCGGTACCACCAGAGATTTAATTCTCTGTTTGCGTTCTGCTGTGCAAACTTCAAGGAGCCCCACAAAAGCTAATAGGTTTCATGTAACTCTTCAGAGAGCCAAACCAAAGAAAGAAATGCGAGTTTATCTAGCTCTGTCTTTTAAACAGCTACCTGCCCTAATTGGCAATACTTAACTCAGGCAATCTTTGAACTTTTCTTGATGTTAACTAATGTTTCTTGTCAAAAAAATCACACCCCAGATGGAAAAACAGCAATAATACAGAATACAACTAACTCCTCACTGCATTCTTGCAGCTGTCAGAGTACAAACAAAATCTGCAGCAGATACAAGAGCCCTGTTTTGTTCAACCAGTCTAAAGCCAGCAAAGCTTATATCAGTCTCTGGGGCTAATGGTGCATGAAAGGGATTGTTTTGAAAATAACTGTGTCAGTTTAAAATATTACTGCCTCTCTCCCAGAGGATACCACCCACACAGCGGAGTCAGCAGACTGAAAACACAGATAATTCTAAGCTGCTTCAGGATAAAGTCCAGTGTTTAAAGAATAAAAAGCCAAGGGGGGTGGGGGCAGCTTGAGTTAAGCTCTTGCACTTTGTACGGAAACAGCTCAGAGACCCTTGTGTCTCCTTCTGCCACCAGAGCTGGGGCAGGCATCTTTGGCAGGCTCAAAGAGCTGCGGGCAGTGGCATCTCAAACAGACACAGCTGCCTTCTCAGTGAACGTATCTGAGCTCTAAGCACGGCTTTTGCCTTGCCCTTTTGGGTACAGGTTCACAGCACTTGGACAAATGGTGAGGTCTGAATCACTAAACCAAACAGCTAACACACAGGAGACTCGGAAAGGGAGATGAAAAAGGTCCTGAGGAATAACATGCTATGTGAGGAATTTCTGATTTAATTCCAAATTTTGTACATGATGTAACCAAATCTGAGGGGAACATTAAGCTCATATTTTCTGACTCGGTCTGCTCTGGACAATGAAGTTTTGAACACACTATGATTAACTCTAAAGTGGTGGGAATGGTACATCTACAGGGAGAAAGCTTTGCTTTTCTGAATCCACCTATCCTGCATTTATTTTCCCTTGATAACAAATGTATGAGACATAGTGGCATTGATCCATTAACGGTTAAATAAGACAACATGCTTCAGTGACTTAAGCCACTTCTCTCTCTGAGATCTTTAAAAACCTTCTGCTTTATGGTGATACTGATATTGCGATCTGACCAAAGAAGCCCTTACCACGCTTTCTTTTTAAACATACAACCCACTTTCACAGCATAGTATGTCTTGATATGTATTTCATAGTATAAAGCTGTTTGTAAACCAGACTGGAATGTTATTTTAGGCCAGTCAGTGTACAGCTCCTACACACAGCAACAGCCTACTTTTGTTTTTAATACTCACTGTGCTATTGTTTCTAAAGCTTTGGATTTTGGCTTGAAATCCAGGCCACCCTGAATTTAACAGCGAAACTTTCACCGAGTTCAGTCTGATCTGGATTTCAACCTAAATGCCTAATGTTGCTAATGTGGGACGTGGTAAACTTGATCATCAAGTTTTTTATGGCCACAACAGATGTTCCTTCTTTTAGACCAATGGAAAGCTACTGAACCTCATCCACCCTCTAAAACAAAAATACAAGCATTTGTTTACAGCTTGATTCCAGGAATATGAATTGAATTAGCAGCTGCGAAGTTTGTTCTTGTTTACTTACAAATAAACATACCCACAGTTCTTGCTTCTCCCAAAGAACCACAATGTTGCCTAGATTGTATTTCCTCTATATAGAAACAGTATTTTTAGCAGTCTAATACTGTATTATAATGTTTAGCACAATAAAAATATCATAGCATTTTTGACCTTGTTTTTAAAAAAAGCATTAATTTTTTTTTGTTTCGTAGACCAGAACAACATGTTTCAGATATATATTTTGTATTTTGTAGACTTATCATTTAGATTGACTATAACACAACATTCTCACAATCATAACCCAAGGCACAACCTATAGAAAATGAAGATACTGAATATAAATGTTTTCTTCCTACTGGTGACATTCAATGAATTTTCTTACTGGCATAAAATGTTGAAAGACTGGTGTCTTCTCCTAAAGTAGGAGAAAAAATATGATAGTGTAATAGCTGTGAACTGAAGCTTTCTAAGATAAGGAACAAGAAAATTATTGCTTGATTTCAAAGGTACCATCCCATCTATGGGGTAAATACCCGATAGTTCTTCCACACAGTTAACACATATTGAGGGGGAGACAGAATAGGAACAAGACTAGGAAGGCAAGGGCTTTGTACGAAAGGAATAGAAGCCTCATTTAGAGTGCACACATTCCTTATGAATAAAAATACACCTTTTCCTTTGTCTTTCCCAAACTAGTCTGATTTCAGGAGCCACAGCACTGTTTTTATTGCAGCAGAGAAAAAAATTATTGTGGCCTTGCTTAGTCTTCAGCTTACGTGAAGTTGTTCCCTTGCTTTGCTCACCACCAAGACCCCCTCTCTGCCTTGATAACATGCTACAGCTGCAAATTAATTTTTCATCAGTGGGATGTCCTCAACAGTGACGGTCCCAGCAGCTCTGTCAGGGTGGGCTTTACCAGAGCAGCTGAGCTGACTGAGCAGCTCGCTGCTCCCACACAGCCAGTCTCACTACATCCTCCTTGCCCCAGCACTTCTCAGAACTTTTCCCAATTTAGCTCACTAAAATAACATGAAATTACCCAACGTTTTTCATAAGCTATTTTTGTGCCATTTTAGTCAATTGCATCAGCTCAGGTAAAGGTCCAACAAATACCAAAGACACCATAGCATGTGGCAGGAGTTTTTGGCTGGGAGAGGAAAAATCATGGTGGAACCGGGGAAGACCTTTTTGGAAGCAGAGAGCTCTCATGTGTCTTGTGAAACCGCATCCAGCTGAAAAATATCCATCTTTGTTTCTGAGCTGATTTTTACTGACTGAATTAGCTCGTTGAAGACGACGTGGTTGCCAGACCCACACAAGAGAAGCAGCAACAGGAACACGTGCCAGGAGGTACGGAGGGAGGCTCCCCCCTGCCAGCAAGTCCAGGCTCTGCCTGGCCTCCTCATGTGCCGTGCTCCTGCGCAGAGGAAGAAGAGTTTTCTGGCAGTACTGTGGTTTCTCTGCTTCAAAGGATAGTGAAGCCCTTTGAAGCATCTCTTCTCTGTGACAGGACAAGGAGCAATGGCTTTAAGCGAAGGGAGGGTAGAGTTAGACTCGATATAAGGAAGACATTTCTTACCATGAGGGTGGTGAAATCCTGGCACAGGTTGCCCAGAGAGATAGTGGAGGCCCCATCCCTGGAAACATCCAAGCCCAGGTTGGACAGGGCTCTGGTCTAGTTGAAGATGTCCCTGCTCACTGCAGGGGGTTGGGCTAGACAACCTCTAAAGGTCCCTTCCAACCCAAAGCATTCTATGATTCTATGATTCTTCGATTAATTGCTGTGATGTCAAGGTGCCCACCCGTTTCATATACTTTGCTTACTGTATTCTTTGGATTTGTCCTTTAAATGTTTTCTGTCGCCTACCGTTACTGACTGACATGCTGTGAAGGCAGTTTAACAGTCTTACAGGCCTAAGATGTACCCAAGGAGGGTATCTAGCTGAACAGCCAGCCTCTGAGGGTTGTGATCAGCAGCAGAAAGTCCAGCTGGAGGCCAGTCACTGCTGGTGTACCCCAGAGGCCCACACTGGGTCCAGTACCATTGAGCATCTTCATTAGCCACCTGGACAGTGTATAGATGATACAAAACTAGGAGGAGCAGCTGATAGACCAGGGGGTTGTGTTGCCATCCAGATGGACCTGCACAGACTGGAGAAATGGGCTGGAAGAAATCTCACAAAGTTCAACAGAGGACAGCACAAAGTCCTGCCCCTGGGGAGGAACAGCCCCTGGCACCAGGACGTGCTGGGGGCCAACCAGCTGGGAATGAGCTTTGCTGAGAAGGACCTGGGGGTTCTGGTGGACACCAAGCTAAGCGTGAGGCAACAGTAAGTCCTCATGGCAAAGAGGGCAAGAGCACTCCAAGGTGCATTAGTAAGAGCATTGCCAGCAGGTTGAGGGAGGTACAGCACTGGTGAGGCCGCATCTGGAGTCCTGTGTCTGGGTCTGGACTCCTCAGTACAAGGAAAATATGGAGCTACTGGAGTGAGTCCAGTGCAGGGCCATGAAAATGACTGAGGAACTGGAGCTTCTCCACATTGCGCACTCCCAGCCCTCCCAGCTTTTTCTCATGACACGAGGGGAACTCAGTCATGAGGAAAAGCTGGGAGGGATGGGAGTGCACAATGTGAAGAAGAGAAGGCTCAAGAGGATCTTAGCAATGTGTGTAAGCACCTGAAGAGACAAACTCTTCTCAGTGGTGTCCAGTGACAGGACAAGAGGCAATGGGTACAAACTAAAACCCCTTAATTCATTCTGAACACAGGAAAACACTTTTTCACCATAAGGGTGACCGGGCACAGGCATAGGTTGCCCAGAGAGGTTGTGGAGTCTCCATTCTTGGAGATATTCAGAACCCACCTGGGCAGCCTGCTCCAGCTGACCTTGCAGAGGATGGACTGGATGATGTCTACAGATGCCTCCCAGCCTCAGCCTTCTGTGACTCTCTGATTCTGCCATCTGTAAATCATCTGTAGATGTGATTTGTAGATCACCTTGTGAAAGTCTGGGGCATACATGAATGCCACTGAGTACTGCTAGGACATAGTCCATAGTCCGTAGCTTACTATCTAGGAAATGCTGATGATGAGGAAATCAGCAACAGGCCATGCATTTCCTTTGTAGAAGAAGAAAAAGGAGTAAGGAAATTTGTCTCATCTCATCTATTTCAAGAGAAATCGAAGCACATTCCTCCTTTGCCTGCTCTATCCTGCAATGAACACTTCCAACTTTTGCAAGAGGGGAGATTCCACATTTCAAAGGGTCATTGTAAAATATTGGCATTCCCAAGATGGACACCTGCTGAATGCGTTGTATTTTATAGAGTCAGCATTTGTTACAGTCTAACAACAGATTTGTACACTCTAAAATATTGTACTTCAAAAAGATCGGTTATCTACAAAAGGAAAATTGGGACCTGGCGCAAATAAACACACAGTACTAATGACAGAAAATTACGTTGTACATGGAGTGTGTAAATTATCTGGGATTGTGAAGTGGAACTTCACAAAATAACATACCCATTGTTATGTTAACTGATGTTAGCACTAATTATGGTGCATATTATCAGTTTTCAAACATGCAAGTTGGAACTGTCAAGCTGGCATAAAACCTGTAAATGCTTAATTTAAAAAAATTATTGGCTAGCTTACTGATGTGTGCTTTACAAGTCCTTATGGCAGACAAAGAGGATTTGAAGCATATCCTAAAGGTTCATTTCAAATGATTAAGGCTGTGGTCACATAAGTAAATCAACGCCGTGATTATCTGAGATGTCTCAGTTGGGAAAAAAAAAGAAATCAAGCTGTGAGCAGATAACATAATCCCTAAAAGTAATTTAGCCACTCCTCGTGAGTGGTACATTTTCCCTGGATGAGCCAGAGCTAAGTTTGTCTCATTTTCAAATGCCTGTATTGCTGTGCACTCCCTGCTCCTTCCTCAGCCCTTCAAACGCTGGTTTGTCTGGAGGCAGCTGCCACAGCGCAGTTCGCTCCATGGCCAAGCCTCGCCATTCCTGCGCTCCTTAGCTCAGGCTCAGCTCTGGCTCCAAGGCTCGACGCCCTCAGCTGTAATGCCAAAGCAGCCTAAGCCAGTCCTAGGCTGGATCCAGTCCGTGCAGTGGCCACTGTGGCTTTGCCCTTCATGTGGCAGCCACCCTGGCCACGTGTTGGCACATCCCCTGCAGCGCACTGTGCTGACTGCTCCCATCTAACCCCATGCAGAGCCATTTCAGCGGTCTGGAAGAAAACTAGCTCAGCCAAAAAGCCCCTCATTTTCAATCCTCAAATCACAGCCTGCAGCATACGGGGCATTCTCTGCATCAGACGCAGATGAAGTAGAGACTGCACAAACAGTACGGGAAGTAGAAGTGAGGAGGAAAAATAGAAGAGCAGACCTTGAAAGCTGTAAAAAAAAAAGGTGTAGGGCTCCTGGAACAGAAAGCAAGTGGGGACATGACCTAGGCTGGCTGGGCAACAAACTGGGATTGTCTTCAGCAAAGACTGAAAGAGCTGGGAGGGAGAGACTGGTGCCTGGTGGAGGCAGGGAATACAGCTAGGAGGAGGGAGCAGGACAGGAGAATCAGGATCCATTAGGTGAGCAGAACAGGACTGCAAACACTCTCCTGGAGCTTGGAGAGGCAAAGTAGTACTTTTTGGGTGATACTGAGGAGTGAAGAGTAGAAATGGCTGGATGTGGTAAGTGGGGCTGAAACAAGCACCTAGGGATGTGGCGAAGACAGACTGCAGGGGCTTTAGTGGAAGGAGGCGATGGCTGGGGAACAAGGTGTGAAAGAATTTGTGCTCCGTGGAGGATAATCCTCTTCTGCCTTGAAATGGAGCCAAAGAGTTCCCAGCTGACTCTCACCTTTTCCCCACCGTCAGCAAATATCTATGAAACCTAATGCAGGGTTCCCCTCGTGGTACTGTTTGGAAAACCACAACCATCACTTTTGCTTTTTTAGAGCAAATGGGCGAGGTCTACGCAGTAGATTTAATCCTCCTGAAGAATCATGTGCAAGCCATTTCGATGTCCTATCATGGAATATTTTTCCAATTTACAGCTTTTAAAACTACTGCAAGCACCCACCTTTGGGTGCAAAACTACTGATCAGGTACATAAAGCTATACAGTGTACAGGATGAATCTGTGCGAAAGGTACAGTGGGCTGAGCAGGACCCCGTGGCTTTGTCAAAGAAATATGAAACGAAATAGTGAACAGTAGTGCCTCAGGGAACCAGGTGCTTAGGAAGAAAAAATGTGTGGGTTTTTCCCCCCCTCCTTCACTAAAAGTGGAGCCAGCTCTTTCCACGAGTGCAAGTGTGGTAGGGTTTGATGGCTGCCCAGCGTGGTTGTTCCTAAAGCACACTGGCACTGCCTGCAGGAACACTGACTGCTCCAAAAGGCTGTCAGTCCTAGAAATCCCTTGGCAAACAGACCTGAATTACATGACCCCTTGGCTGAGTATGTGGCCCCTCAGCTGCTGACAAATACTAGCGGCAAGTATCCATAGGGTAGTTGGAAGTTCAGCACATATTTTTGGGTGGGGGGCTTTATTCCACTTGGAAGGATTTGGGGGTGAAGGGAAAGAACCGATCACAACAACGATACTTGCTGGAGTGGGGAGCAAGAGTAGAAATAGCTTGTGACAAATATAAGGCACGGGAGCCTGAACTCGGCCTGGAGTGACTGAGAGTCATGTAGGGTTTGGCTGCCGCTAGGAAAAGTGACGTTGAAGGAAAAGGGTTAAAAGTTATCTGAGATTCCAAATTAAGCGACTGCGTAGGCCTGTGTGACTGATGGAGGAGCACCCGACCCCTCGGTCGAGTCAAAACTTTGAAGAACAGCACAGAAAGCCCCAAGATAAGAAAGGATGTAAATTTCTGCCTTGCTGCTGACTTAGATACATGTATGTGAACTTGAAACGAAGTCAAGACAAGAGTGTATCCTATAGTTAGCTTAGGTTAACTATAATACTAAAAATCACACCCCTAGGAAGAGATTTCATATGTAAATGTAAGACCACCCTAGTATAATGAGCTGGACCAAAACTGGGACATGAGCGAGCAAGTTTTTGTACAAGTGACACATTGACTGCTTTACTGTAATTTCTTCTTTGTTACTGTTTTGTATAGAAGACCCCATATGTTTCCGAGATGGGCGCTGGCTGCTGTTAAATGCCCGGCACCCTACTCTGCAGCCTAGCAATAAAGACAAATATCTTGACTCAGCAAGTTGATTGGCATCCTGCACACCGGATGAAGAACCCCGATTTAGGGACAACAGAAGGACTTCCTCATCTTCTGTGCAGCAGGGAAATCTGCGTTTCAGTACACCCAAGCACCTCTCCGTGTGACAGAAAAGTTGCGGAGAAAGGGCATAGTGAATAAACCATGATTAAAGCAAGCAAAAAGTGCATGCCTGGTCATTCAATGCATACAGGAAAACCAGCAGAATTTGTCATATTGTTTCTGTTGACTTCGACTTTCATCAGGTACAGGTTGGTCAGACAGGCAAGGTCCCTGCTATCGGCCATCTGTCTGACATTAACTCCTGGTGAGCTCTTCACGCCCACTCCAGCTACCGCTAAGCCATCATTAGTGACGTGTGCACACGCGATTTTAAACAAACGCCGTGTTGCATGGGAGCTTCAGGGGAAAAAAAACCCAAAGCCATCGAATCACAGAATCATTACGGTTGGAAAAGACCTCTAAGATCGTCGAGCCCCACCATCAGCCCAACACCACCATGTCCCGCAGTGCCGTATCCACACGTTTTCTGAG